AATTATTCTCTGTCTATTGTAACTGCAGTTCTTGCTTGATAATCATTTTTATATGTAATTTTACTGTTAAAATGATAGCCTTCCTTTTTGATTTGACAGAAAATAGGAAGTGCTATGGAGTGGCCTGTCTGTATGCTGTGAATATGTGTTGCTACAACTGGTTAATAAAGCTGCTGCCTTGGCCTATGACAAGACAGGTTAGAGCCAGGTGGGAAATCCAAATAAAGATACAGGGAGGGAGACACTGCAGGGCTTCCCTGGGGGGAGCAAGATGTAATGGAACACAGGTAAAGCCACGAGACACGTGGCAATACACAGATTAATAGAAATGGGTCAATTTAAGATGAAAGAGCTAGTTAGCAATAAGCCTGAGCCATAGACCAAACAGTTTGTAATTAATAATAAGCCTCTGTGTGTTATTTGGGACCAAGTGGCTGTGGAACCCAGGAAAACCTCCTGGCTACATCTGTCCTCCTCTTTTAGAGGAATTGCCCTCCAATTCCTCTACTCTGTCTACAACTTCCTCTCCTTCCTCCTCCTCATCTCAAATGATACCCAGGAGATAGTGGAATGAGAAACAAAGATGAGTGGTAGAGAAAAGGAAAGTCTGTGATAGAGCCATAGCTATTCTGTCCTTGTTTTCTATGTTCTATTTTGCCCATCATCATCATCACCATCATCATCACCATCATCATCGCCATCACCATCATCACCATTATCATCATTATCACCATCACCACCACCATCCTCATCCTCATCAATGTGTGATGTACATATGCTGAGGTGCAGGCACACATTCATCATGACATGCACATGGAGGTAAAAGCACACCTTGCAGCTGGTTCTCTGTTTCCACTGTGGGTTCCAGGGATGGACCTCAGGCTGTTAGTCTTCCATCACAAGCTTCCTTCCCCATTGAGGCACCTCATAGGTTCTTGCTTAACTTCTAATGAGCCTTTGACTCTTTTTATTAAAAAGACACAATGTGTGCTTAAATTATTAAGAATAAACAAAGAGCATCTCTACCTTCAGACAAGTCACAATGTATTCAGAAGTACCTTTTTTTCCTGCGGCTTCTGGATCCTCTCTCTGCTTCACTGGTCTCTGGCTCCAGGTATTATTGCACATCACTAGAACAGCATGAATTCTCATAACATGGGGTAGGAGTTGAAGTTTTCATTTTATTTTATTTATCTTTATTTTTTATTTTTTATTTTCTTAGTAATGGGACATGTAGCATTTAAAGTGTCAAAGGCTATAGTCATTATTTGCAAATACTCAGCTCCATTGTTAGGTGAACACATAATTTGTATTTGTGTACAATGAAAACTGAAGTTTAAATAATTTAAATGATCTGTACATATTCCCTTCATTTGGTATTCTCCAAACATTTGAACTTTTAAAAAATTAATTTGTAGGTAGAAACAAAGCAAAACAAACCAGCAAAAAAAAAATAGAAAAACCTCAGCAGTCTGTGATGCATATTTAGTTTTGAATTTTAGCAGTTTGTCGATCTGCTAATGTAAAGAAAAGCTCACTGCTAAGGACTTCCTGTGAGTGATATGGAGTTTCCTCTATTTTGACTAGAGTTGAGCTCACTCTCAAATGGGTATCTTTAAGCATAAGATGCCTTAAAACTTCTTTATATATATATATATATATATATATATATATATATATATATATATACACACACACACACATATATATATATACACACACACACACACATATATAAAATTATACAACACATGCTCTGTCTTCATGTGTACCAGATGAATTAGATCCCATTATAGATGATTATGAGCCATCATATAGTTGCTTGGAGTTGAACTTAGTACCTCTGGAAGAGTAGCCAATGCTCTTAACCACTCTCCAGCCTGGTCTTCAGACTCCTTAAGGCATCTAATTATCCAAACCATAAGTAAAGAGAAAGAGACAGCTCATCTTAAAAGGAATAAACATTCAAAAAGCCCCATTTTCAGGACCTTATCTACATATGACTATACCCTTCTCTGAGCGGCTGATCACAGATTATTTTTCCTCCTGTACAGATCTTCCGTTGTCTCATCTGGGAAGAAGCATGAACAACTCACTGTTAGAATGATGTTTCACTGTTCTATACTTGATAGCTAAATGGAGGATAACAGCAGGAATAGAGATAATCTTCTGAGATGAACAAAAGGATTTTGGCTTCTGGAGAGGCTTGCCACAGCCAGCCAAGAAAGCTGAGGGCCTCAGTCTAAAATGAAGCTAGGCTACTCAAAGTTTGACACCAACAACCCCTAGGATTTGTTTATAGAATGCCACTGATCTTCCTCCCTTCAGCCGAAACCGTCACCCACAGATGACAAAATGTCCAAAGTAGACTCCTCGCAGATGACAAAATGTCCAGAGTAGACTCCTCGCAGCATTCACTGGCCACATTCTGATTTTTCACCTGCAAGTGCTTTTGATTCCTTTGAAGACACAAGGAACCTTGACGAAGCATGAAAAGCAGGAGCCAGCTTCCTCTGAGCCTTTCACAAACATTGTCACTCCTTCTCAGAACAGGAGCCAACCAAGCCATGTACAAGCACCAAAATGACTGCGTCATTTGAACAGCAGAAAATTGAGCAGAGAAATTGAATTCTAAAGCCAAGGAACAAAGCCCAAAATCAAAGGCTCTTACGTAAAAATGAGTTCCATTCAATCTCGCCTTCTCATTTATCTTCTTTGTTGTTGTTAGGCTATGTTCCCAGCCTGATATGCATACTAGGACGTTTTCTGGAAGTCAGTTTGAAATCTAGAGGAAAAAGCAGCCATATAACTTGGAGATGTGGCTGTTTTCATGGAAATTGAAAGAAAATTTTTCTTTAAAAAAAAATCCTATGGCAAGGACTAAAAACATTTGTGTTAGTACAAACAGTTCCCAATTTATAAATGGATTGTGGGCCAAAAGTTTGTTTTTAAGTCAGTTGCTTGTCATTTGGAAAATGTTTACTCCAAGGAACAGTTGTAGGTGGTGACTACAGACAGAGCCTGTCATGATGGATTGTGTAATGCAGACATTTGAGGCAGGGTCCCTCAGACCGAATTCTGCAGAAGCATGATGATAAATAACATTTTACACATAGAGCAGACGTGATGAATCTTCCTGGTATATTAGTGTGGGTACAAGATTTTGAGAAATAGCCTTTCTGAATTAAAATAAACATGCATAATTTGAGGTGAATATTAGGTATCTAAAACTCTTTTTCCCCCATTGAAAAATTTTTATTGATACCCCACCAGCTGCCCAAAGTGCTTCTGGCATTAAGCACCTTCCTCCTTGGCAATGCAGTCTTTCTTGAGTGGTCCCATGAATGCTTTCTTCTCCTCCATGGTCTGGAAATGACCATGGCCAAACTTGGAGGTGGTGTCAATGAATTTCAGGCCAGTCTTCTCCAGAGCATGGTCGTTTGGTCCGCACTAGCAAGGACTTGCAGAGAGTGAGTACTCGCTTCTCGGTTCCCAGCACACAGCCTTGGAGCATGACGAAGTCATTGGTCACCTCACCATAATGGACAAAACTACCCAGTGGGTTGATGTTGTCAGACTGGTCGTAGTCTGTAGGCGCATTATTCTTGATCAGCTTACCATTCTTGATGAGGTAGCCTTGACCAATCTTGTAAATCTTTTGGTTAATCTCTGTTCGATGATGGTAGCCTTTCTGCCCAGCAAGAGCCACAGTGAAGGCCACACAGGCAGGGTGCCAGCTTCCAATACAGGCAACCTTGCGCAACCCTCGATGGGTCTTGCAGGGCAGTTTCTTTGTATGCCAACGACTGGTCACCCCTTTGTAGCCTTTACCTTTTGTCACCCTGATGACATCAATCATATCATGTCCAAACACCTGGTTCACAGGAACCTGCTGCTCCAGTTTCTCCCGGGCCCAGTCCAGCTTCCCAGCTACAGTGCCCCCATTAGCCTGGATCTCCATCAAGTGTGCCTTCTTCTGGTGCAGAGGAAGCAGATACATCTGAGTGTGGGCAATTATGCGGATGACTTGGCAGCACTTCTTCATGCTGCTGAAGTCCTTCTCCAGTGGTTTCTTGCCCACGTCATCCTGCCATTTCTTACAGTATTTGATGAAGGCCTTCTTCTTCGATTTGTGCCAGTTCTTGCAGAGACGCCTTTTACACTCATCACTGATGTGCTCTGCGAATACTGTCTTGAAGGTCTGGAGGCCTCGTGGTGTTTCAACATATCCTACAATGCCCACAACTTCCATGGGTGCTATTTCCACAATGGTTACAGTCTCCACAACATTTTTCTTGTTCATGTTTCTAGTCTGTCAACTTCCGGGACGATATGAGTCATGCCAGCCTTGTAACCTAGAAAGGCTATGAGATGAACAAGCTTGGAAGGGTCACCCTTGGGGAAGCTCTTCACTTTCCCATGATGCCAGCTGCCGCGCTTCCGAGGCAAGAAGCCCAAGGACCCATGCCGGGAAGCAGAGAATTTCCTGTGAGACATTTCGCTGTCACACGCCCCCGATAGAGGCTGAAATTTCCAAGATAAAGTATAAAACAACAAAAGTATCTTGTACATAGAGGTCGAAGTTCCTAGACACTGTTGATTTCTACTCTGTCCTCTCAGGAAATTGAATGGAGGTTGGTGAAAAGCAGGACCATGCAGTATTAGAGGTCCCTGTTTATCTGTAGTCTATCACTTTCTTGAAGGAGACCCCATTGGACCCCATTAGTCCTAGATACTTAGTCAATTACTATTTTTTTGGGTTACAGAGGCAGATGGAACCCAAAGGTTTGTGATAACTATATATAAAGGGCTATCATATGAATGGAACAGGACATTAATGGTAAAACAGATTAAATTTGAATAAGCAGTGTAGGTCAGTTTACAGTATTTTAACTATTGAGAGAGGGGGGAAGATCCATGATAGAAATGAGTTGTGAAAAACACAGTATACGCACGACATTCCAGTCCTTCCCCTAAAATATCTTTCTATTAATTAACAGGATGAATGATCTCTGAATATTATTTTCACACCTGCCACAAGGATAAGAATAACTGACCAAAGTTGGAAGCGGTTGAGGATCAACGTCTTACAAAGGCCTTCCTGGGGATGTTTTCATGTCTGTGTCTGACAGCTAAAAGAAGCAGGCTCAATTGTCTCCCAGCTCTACTGTGTCTATGAGAGCTCAGGGTGGGACTGGGCTCTGCAGGTAGACATTTTCAATAACTTGCTATGTTGGAGTCTTGTTCCAAGGTGGTATATTTGAAATCCCCATCTTCCTCCTCAAGCCATTGGCTGGCAAAGATCATGTCCTGCTGAGCAGGGTTGGTGTAGCACACAGCAAGCACTATGTATAACTCTCCAGGCCATTCATGAACAGAAAGTGATTATTATTTAAGTGTGGCAGGTATTAATCACATTGACAGTAAAATTAATGCTATTGGACTTCTTTCTGCTTTGGTGGGGGTGAGCTTCTTGTGTAAAAAGGAATGGTTGCTGGAAGAAGAGCTATTTAAGGAGAAAACCACAGGACTGAGGGTTACAATAGCAAATGTGAACTTACTTAACTGCATCGTTGGTGAGGACCAGCTGTGCTTGCCTGTTGATACTATGAGAATTAACTAAATTATGCATGTCTATACTCACGTGTACACATACATGCATACATATTCAATGAGATTTTCTGACTAACGTCTTTAATCCTAGCACTTGGTAGGTAGAGCTCTGTCTGGTTCTCTGTGAGTTCAAAACTACCCTGAACTACATGGTCAAGGAGAAAAACAGAGCCAGGCAGTGGTGGCACACACCTTTAATCCTGGTACTTGGGAGTTACATGCCTTTAATCCCAGCACTAGGAAGGTTGAGACAGGAAGTGAAATGGCTGGGCAGAGAAAGGAATATAAGGCGAGAGGAGACAGGAATTCAGCCCTTTTGGCTGAGAATTCAGAGACATTCAGTCTGAGGAGTCGTGGAGAAATAATCTCACCTTCCTTTTGGCCTGAGGATTCAGTAGTGGTGAGAGGTTTCTCTAGTGGCTTTTTTCCTTTGTCTCTCTGATCTTTCAGCATTTACCCTGATAGCTGGTTCCAGGTTTTTATTGTAAGACCAATTCAGATTCATATAACACTTCTCATTGTGTTTTTTTCCATTGGATAATGGTCAAAACTAGAAAAATAGCATTGGTATAATAACATAACTAGGCTATAGGTCATTTCCCTGCTTTTCCAATTTTCCAACTTAGGGCCTTTTCTAGGATATAATTAGAATCTGTTTGTTGCAATGTGTCCCTGGTCTCTAATCTGCCATAATATCTACATTGTTTTTCTGGCCTTTCATGACTGAGAAATACTGGTGTGTTACCACTCTAGTTGGTGGCATGAACCTAGGAAAGCGGGGCCTAAAAATGAGGCAGACTAAAGTCTCATGCAATAGCCAACTTTACTCAGAGCATCAGGCGATTTATAGTCTGAGGGTTAAGGAAAGTCACCTGAGGAAAGGGTACAATCACCAGGACAGGCTGCATGTGACAAAAACATGTTTTTTCATAAAGGCACATGAATAACAACAGCTGAAGTAAACCTCACTCCTGTCTGCTACACCTGGGAGGAGCGTGAAAACACATCCCAGGAATTCTGTGTTTTGGAGAGATTGAGGTCGGAAGACTTGTTTTCTTGGTTTTCTCGCACTCAGAATTCTTACATGATTTCATCCTTAGACTGTGTTCTGACATTGGTGAGTACTGTTGTCTATGGCTTCTCTGTAAGCTAATGCATTTGGGTAGGAATACTGTAGAAATGTGACATTGCATCATGTTGAGGATGTCTTATGTTAGTATGCTTATTAATTTGTTTATCTAAGTATGAACTTTTTAAAAAAATTTCCTATTCTACAGTTTATAGTATCATTGTTACCTGCTGGAATAGGTTATCTTCTCCTCATGCATTCTGATCTACTCAAAGGCAAAATTGTTTAGGAAAAAAAAATCTTTTCAAGATGATAAATTTTAATCATGTGTTTAAATAAACCATTCAGAGAGAAGAGAAGCTGGAAGGCATTGGAGATCTTGGTATTACATTATTCTAGAGACATTTATCCCAAGCAAGTATTTCAAAGGTACCCTGTGAGTGCCTGGAGACGAGTCTAGATTCCAGGGAAAGTAGAATATATTTATACTGGGAACAAAGCAAAACAGAAGCCACAGGCAATGAGTGGTTAGAATTTCACCTAAGATGTGTAAGCAGAACGTCTTTGCTTCTGTCAAAATCAAATCCTCCTTCTGTGTATTCCAGACTTACTAGGGAAAAGGACAGAACACAGAAGCTGTAAGCACAAGAGGAATGTCCTCCTGTGTACCATTTCAGAATCACTTTTCTGAGAAGAACCAAAACTAAATAGTTGTAAAATCTCCCGAACGTTAATCCTCTCCCCTGGGTGAGCTGTTTTTCATGTCTAGAAATGTTCTTCCTTTCCCAGAATTCCTATGGCTGGTTTGTACCCTGCTTAAAGCATTACCACATCTCTCCTGTGTTGTAACTCACTGCATGTGTCTAGTCTTCAAAGCCTTCCCTGCTCAGCTACGACTATTTTATCTGTTCTTGTTATACTTGTTTTTTTCAGGCTTGGTAATAATACTATGAATTTCCGGGGCCCATACTCTCTAGACACATGCTAATCTGCTGATAGGATTTCAAGATCTGATGTCTCAGATTTATCTCAAAACCATCCCAGATAAGGGTTGCTGATGTAGAAACCTGAAACACCACACTTCATTTCAGTTTGTGTTATGAAACAATAGTGATTAAAAACTATATTTTAGTGGCATAGAAATAAAGACAGAGAGGCACATAGCACAGCACAGCATGGGAGGGGAGCCAAGAAATGCCACCAATAAATATGGTCAGTTTTCAACTTTTCCACTAAGTTCCTAAAACAGAAAAAGAGAAAATGATAGTTTCTTCAACAAATGGTGCAGGGAGTCCATAATGAAATCAAGAAACTAAAGATTTATACTATACAGAAAAGTTGATTCCAAGTCTTATTAGCCTTAAATATAAGACTGGAAACTGCACAATCCTCCAGAGCAAACGAGAGGAAGGTCTCTCGATATTGGCATTGGCAAGGATCTCACCTAAAGCACAGACAACAAAAAATAAGAATAAACAAGAGTAACTAAATCAAATCAAGACACTTCTGCATGGCAAGTGGCATACTCAGTTAAAAGAAAGGGTGGCTGGTATAGTGGGACGAAAGACCTGCATCAGAGCTTTGGAGCACAGATCATAAACACCCTCCTGGTGGAATCTCAGGGAACAGACATTTGTAACTTTAAAGTGTTGTTTATGGATTACTCTTTTTCTAGATCATGCCTTCAAAGCCACAAGGTTTCCCAAAAGATGTCAAAAGAAAAATTCGTTTCTAATAATACTCTAAGTACCCAAATAATGAGTTGACATTGATATGTGTGGTAGTGTGAAAAAAACTATGGCCCTCATACCATGTTGGTGTCTGAGATCCATGATACCACCAGGGCCATAGTGATCTGAGTGGCCTTCACTTGGGCCCAGGTGTCACTGGGGACCATGGTGACATCTGGGCCCAAGCTGCTGCCAAGGGCCATGTCTGGGTCCGTGGTCCTGCTGCAGCTGGGGTCTGTGTTGATGTCTATTGCCTGGTTACTCCTGGGGGCCATGAGAACCATGCATGTTGAAATCTGAAGGCCCTGCCGGGCCAGCCTCACCCTTAGCTGGTCCTGGGAGATCAGACCCTGCTTCTTCCTAACTGTTGCAATGGCAGAGCTAGCCCCACCTCATACAGGAGAGCTGACCCCATCCCTCACTCACCAAAGCATGGGAGAGCTGACCCAGATGGTGTGGGCATAGGAGAGTGGGATCTGCCCTGGCCTGAGAGAGCCAATCCCAGTGGAGGCTCGGACCTACCAACTCAGCTACCACCCAGGCCCACATCCAGTGCTTTGAGTTTGGCCCACCTCAACATCTACCCCATCTATGGCCTGCTGGAGCATGTGAAAGGACTGGTCCTGTGGAACCATAGCCACAAGATCTCCATGACTGGGGCAGCAGCAGGATGTCAGAGAGGAGTTTCAGTGAGGATCTAGTATTGATGGTATACCAGAAGCCAGAACATTGCAAGTAAAGCTGTTTGGACAAAAGTGTGACATACCCACAGCTCCCAATGCCTCTAAGGTGAATGAAGATGTAATGGAGAGGCAGGAAAGACTGAAGAGCAAAGTGTTTTCAGGGAGTGGCACTGCTTGAGAAGAACAAGGAGGTGTGGCTTTATTGGAAGAAATGGGTCACTGGGGGTGGGCTTAGAGGTTTCAAAAGTCCATGCCAGGCCCGGTGTCTGTCTGTCTGTCTGTCTCTCTCTCTCTCTCTCTCTCTCTCTCTCTCTCTCTCTCTCTCTCTCTCCCTGCTTCCTGAGGATCTGGAACTCTGTAGAACACTCAGCTACTTCTCCAACATGCTCCCCACCATGATGACAATGAACTAAACCTCTGAAACTGTAAGCAAGCTCCATTTAAATGCTTTCTCTTTTAAGAGTTTCCTTGGTCATGGTCTCTTCCCAACAATAGAACACTGACTAAGACAATATGATATTTTAAACTAATCAACAGGCCTTATTAATACTTTGTCCACTGACCTGCTACAGTTATCTGTGTGATTCAGTATTCATTCCAGGGCACAATGTTTCATTTAATTTTTATTTTTTTCTATAGTCTTTTTGACATAGAGAAGAGTTTCTTTGTCTTTATGTTTCAGGTTCTTGACACATTTGAACAGTACTGGTCAATTGTTTTATAGAATATTCCTTAATTTGGGTTTGTTTAGTAGTTTCTTTACAGTTCAAATCAGGGGTGCATTTTAAAATAAGATTTCATGAAAGGATAGCTTGTCCTGGCCAGTGCATCATATCAAGAGGTACACGATCTTAATACAACACTACGTGACAAAGCAAACTTAGGTCACTTGATGTCTTCTCCCAGAAGATGTCATTGTTTTCTCTTTTATATTGGTGAGAAACTCAAAGAGATGTATAGATATGCTTCTTCTTATCATATTTCCCCACTGCTTTCATATCCATTGGTGATTCCTGTTGGCAACCATTATTATCACACAATAGACCTCCTTTCCATTATCTGTATACATTTATTACTTGGGATTTTATTGTAAATTGTTCCCAGACCCCCAATTTTTAAAAAGTACTTATTTATATTAATATGGACACATGGCATTTTATATTGTTCCCTAAATCATCATTAATATTTTCATCCAATCATCCCAGGTTTGCTTACTGAAAGCTCCTTTAAGTTGGCTTTTGTACTTATTTGATATATCCCATAATTTCCAGACCACTTTCATATATTCCTAGAAGCTATAAAAACATTATGTCTCAGTTTTACCCTATATTAAAATTGTTTTAGATATGATTCAGACATTAATCTACTTTTTAAAAGTTTCCAGATGGCTCTCACATGTAACTTAGTTTGAAAGGCAGACTTTCTGGATATTTTCATCTATGAATTTACTAGACATCCAAAGGAAATTGATCTATAGCTTTATATATAAAGTTCCATTTTCTTGTGTATTATGTGCATATGTATGCCTGAAGAGGAAGGATGATTATGTTAAAACAGGTCAAGAGTGATAAGTAAAAAAAAAAAATCAAGGCCAAGTGTGAACTGAATTATTCAATTTTACACATTTATCTGTGATTCATGTAGAATTAGGACGATCCATGTGCACAGTAAATTTTCAAATAGCAAAGACTTCATAATCTTGATGATTATTTGCTTCTTTAGAAGCACTGGTCCATATGCACTCTTGAAAAACTGTTGGGTGTAGGTTCTGTTCAGCCTGTGGTTACCTAGTCCAATGTAGTCTTCACTCTCATTGTACAAACAGCAGCCAAACTTTTAGCCTTTGTTTTTGCGGTAGTATGAATGTAATTGGTCCCCATAAACTCATAGGGAATGGCACTATTAGGAGGTGTGGCTTTGTTGGAGTAGGTATGGCCTTGCTGGAGGAAATGTTTCACTATGGGGGTGGGCTTTGAGCTCTTTTATATGCTCAAGCCATGCCCAGTGTCTAAGACTACTTCCGGTTGCCTGAGGGTCAAGATGTAGGACTCTCAGCTCCTTCTCCAGCAGCATGTCTGCCTGCATGATGCCATGTCCCTCCATTGATGATAATGGACTAAACTTCTGAAACTGTAAGCCACCCCAATTAAATGTTTTTCCATTATAAGAGTTGCCATGGTCATGGTGTCTCTTTACAACAATAGAAACTCTAAGACAGTCTTTACAGATGCAATTAAGTAAAAAGAATTAGATTGTTTGTTTTCTATTAACTCACATTTAAAGTTATTATTTTAATGACACATGATATAAAACACATAAAAGTGTATAACCTGTATATGTACTACTTTAAAAATATTTCTGAAATGAACTCCTATGTTAAGAAATAGAACTTTTATGGTGTCCAATAAGTCCCTAGTGATTCCTTTACTACTAACAATTTGCTTCTTCTCCTTGGGGGTAACAGCTACCATTACTTTTATTACAAGAACTCCTGCCGGGCAGTGGTGGTGCACGTCTTTAATCCCAGCACTCGGGAGGCAGAGGAGGCCAGCCTGGGCTACAGAGCAAGATCCAGGAAAGGTGTAAAGCTACACAGAGAAACTCTGTCTCGAAAAACCAAAAACAAAACAAAAACAAAACCAAAAAAAAAAAAAAAAAAAAAGAATTCCCTTACTGTTTAATATATTTCTAAACAGTAAGTTTTGACTGTTCCTGTATGTTATGAAAATTTAATTGTGCTATATACATTTTATTCCTACTTTTCCTTGAATATATTTGAGACACTCATTTTAATGTGAATCTCTGTCATCTGTTTGCAATGTTGCATAGTGTGCCACTGCATGACTATAATACACTATGTCCAATCTATTGATTTTAGCTTTATGCAATTATAAAACAAGTAGTGTAGATATTGTACCAGCCTCCCGGTCCACATGTGCCTCTGTTGCTGTGACTACAGATATAGGTGTGGGTTTGGTTGTGCAACAGGGCAAAATTTAAACACTCATTCAGTAAGATCACAGTGTTCCCAGCCCCACCACTGCAGTACTGAAATTTCTGATGCTTTATGTGTTTGACAATCTTTGATCATTGCTGACTTTCAGATTTTAATAACTTTCACAGTTTTGTTTTGTTTTCATTTCCTAGAGTATGTGGTTGATATTAGACTTTCAAAATATATTTTTGGCTCTCCATATATTTTATTTCATAAAGTATCTCTGGTAGACTTCTGCTCATATAAAAGCATTGATCTTACTGTTCTTTTATGACAGATGTATCTTTCTTTAGACTTTCTTAATATATTACTATTCCTTATTGATTACATTGCTAGAAATAGTTACCTCCTTTTATATGATTTATATTTTCACTTTTTAATGTTATTTTATGAACAAAAATCTTAATTTTTTAATAGTAGCCAACTTTCATCACTATTTCTTCTTGATTGGAAATTTTTAGTCTGTTTATGAAATCTGTCTGTACCAGGGGGACATGAAGATATATTTTTACATTCTTTCTTTAAAGCATAGTTTTGTCTTATGAACTTGAGCCTTTAGGGATTGTGTGTTAGGGTACTTGCTTAACATGTATATGACCCTATGTTCTATCCCTTGCACCACAAAAAAGCAAATAATAATTAAAAATACAATAAAATAGACATAATCTATTTAAAAGTAAATTTGTGATTGATTTTGTGTTTGGTGTGAAATAAGGATTGAATTGAATTTTTTCTAACTTATCGTTAGCTATTTTGTGATCATTTAAGTGTTTTCAGTAAAAAGATCAGCAGTTGCAGTTGATAGTTTCTGTTTGTGAGAAAGATGGAAGAATGAGTAGAATTACGTGAAATTTTGGGACAATCAAACAATCAAAAGCTCATTAATTATATATTCTAGATATACTTGGTAAGTGATATCACATAATATATGTTTGGGGATTTATATTCTTTCCATTGCAATTGAAAACAGAAAAAAATGACAAATAACACATTGAACCAATTTCTTTTCAGAACTGTTATCTAATTTAAGGTCTTCTGAGATTCATTTTTTTAGTGTTTTGATTTGAGTTAGGAATGGTAGACTTCCAGGGCACAGAATTTTTATCTAGTTTATTATTTTAGTCATAAATATTATTTTCTCATTTTGGCATGATGTTAGAGTTTGTATATACAATGGTTAGAAAATGAAATAAATAAGAGGATAAACATATTCTACAAAATTACTCCTCTCCTCTTATTACTTTACAGATTTTATTAAATTTACATTGTATGTAAATAACTTGTGCTCTTGAGATCCTGTGTAAAAACAGGAATTGAGTTTTCTCCTTTCATAAAGGAAGATCATTATGTTTGAAATGTTCCATCTTCAGCCTTAAAGAACAAAGATGTTTGTAGGCTACCATTAAAAGATGAAAGGCTTAGGCTATAGCTTCATGATAAAATGTTTCTCTTTCAGAAGAACAGAAGGAAGCTCAGGACTCCTTACACCAAGTCTAAACAACTTCTAGGAGTATATAATATTTTTTAGGAAGTGTTTTTCAGAGGATTTCTAAAATACTGAAGATATCAAGAAA